CCTAAGCTACGCAAAACGTATTAATAATCGAATTAACTATTAATATAAATTATGTTTTCCGAGGACTATGAAAAAGGTCCTCGGAAGGTGTGTATGTCCTCGGAAGTAGCTATATATCTGTATTTTTGTCCTCGCAACATATAGCAATCCAAGTACACACACACACACACACACACACACACACACACACACACACACACAGATACAAACAGACACACAGACACACAGGCACGGTGGACGTTCATGAGTCCAAAAACATCCAAATGTTACAAGAGAAAAAAAAATCTCCTGGTAATGCCCAAAAGTAGGAATCTATACTTGGAATAATGACTTATCAGTGATCCATCAATAATTATGTATTCTGGGAGACTTCTGATAAAATGATGCCTCATAAATTATTCAAACTCTGGTCACCTGGGAATAAGTTCTTTCAATATAGATAGATCGTGTGGTTTGCTTTCCCACAGGATATTATGAGTTTAGACAATTGTCGACTCAGCAACGCCCTGCCCACCAAAGTGTCGTGTCTGTCTTATACAAACTGAAATGTTTGTGCTAGTCTTCTATAAATGGCAACATAATAATCACTGACAGTTGCATATTTTTTATTTAATTTTACACCTTGGTGAGTGCTCGTTACTTATTGCACTTTAGTATTCCTTTAGTGTCGTATTACTACGTTATATTGGCAAGTATTGCCCACGGTGAGAACCGCACTTTAAACCTTGATACACTGCTTCTTACGACATGAAAGTATTTCGTTTACAGTTGTATGTACTTACTGTGTGCAACTTTGTGACGTTTGCAACTTGTTATTGGAAAATGTATGTGTAGACATGCACTCAAACGTGCAAACGACGAAATTTTAACATAATTAGTTTATTTCTAAGCCTGCTACAAAATATAAGTTATTTTAAGTATATTGTCAATTGGTCGAAAATTGCGTATACGTGTGATATACTAGTCACTGTCGACGACTGAATGTCTCAACAAATCATTGCATTCCATCTGTAACGTTGGCATAAAACACATGAACACATTTATCTGCGAAATATCAAGTTTGTCACTTCAGCTTTAAATTTTAAACAGTTAGTCTGAAAATCATGTGTGCCAGCGTGACGTTCAATTTGAGTACGCTATCGTCATCTCGCGTAGAAAAAAAGGTATATCGGTGTAAACCAGGCCGGATGTTGAAATTTAAATAAATATTCTTAATATTATCATACTTTAGTGAGAAATGTCTGAAAAAATCGAAATTACAGGTACATATAAACATAAAACTTGGC